AAACATTGGTGAATTGTTTATATTTATTGACGTAAGCTCCCTTTCGATTTTTATAAATTTTAGATTTTACGTTTCAAAGTTATTGGCTTTTATTTATAAAAAAGGGGGGATTTTCTAGTTTTCGGACAATAACACAAAAATGCTTTAAGCAATTTTCATGAAACTTTGGTGACTGGTTTATATCTATTAAAATAAGCTCCCTTTAGTTATTTATAAATTTCTGATATGACATTGAGGAGTTATGGAACTTTATTTGTTGAAAAAGCGACTGGCGTATCATGCGCTCATGGCACAGCTCTTTATTTCCCCTAGCTCCAAAAATTCACACTTATTACCCATATTTTGGATAGAATTATAATTTTATTTCTTAAATTGAAATATATTAAACAAATTGTTCGGACCATTCTATGTTCTTGGTCATAAAACTTTGCATTGTGCACTATTGATTGTGAAAGTCTAAAAACAGGAATTCATGTATCCTTATGGATACATTTGGCATCTACACCGGTGTGCCAAAAGAATAATTTCTGCATGAGCATGAGGATACAGAGGGTACCAAAAGGATAACTTAGGCATGAAAGGGTTAACGCCAGTTTTGATTAAATGATGTCATCTGTCAGGTCTACAGTCAGAGTCAATGGCAACAGCGCAACCAATTGCAGTTGACATTTTTCTAATAATGACTTATTTTGAGTGTTTTAAAAGTATTGTATAAGAAAAGGAATAATATTACTGTATTTGAAAAGTTGCAACGGTCCATAGATAGTAGCAAATACATGCTGGCAATTGGTGTACTCTTATTGGTAGATAACTGAAGTGAACATCATGAGTTTTTAACGACCTTGACTGGCTATACAGCCCTTGCAAGGTCGGTCACTGATGATGGTCTCTACAACTCTGAGATAAAGTTTTTTGACACCCAATACAATGTCTATCATTCAATCATGACCAGGGCATCATTGAAATCCTCTAGATTTAAGGTCTGATTGTCAACATTGTCAACCATAGTTTGGATGTCAAACTCTGGTTGTTCAGGTGCGGTCAAACTTGGACCTGCCTTAGGGAGCTACCATTTGATTTTTATGGGGGGGCTAGGACGAAAAATTTTGTCCTGCCTTTTTATTTTTCCCTCTATTCGGTCCTGCCTTTTTATTTTTCACTCTATTCGGTCCTGCCTTCTTTTTTTTTAGTTTATCCTGACTTTTTTTTTACATAAATTTTTTTTTTGCAAATAATCTCATCCTGCCTTTTTTTTACTCAAAACTCCTGTCCTGCCTATTTTTTTTCAAATTTCATCCTAGGCCCCCCCCCCATAAAAATCAAATGGTCGCTCCCTTATTTTGAACATATAACTAAAAAAAAGTCTACCATTAGATTATCAAGGATTCTATATTCAACTTCTCTCTTAGGTAAATTGCCTTTGCTCTTTTTGGCTGGTGAAACATCTACAGCATTGAGATTTTTACTTTTCATTGGGGCCTTCCCCTTCTTATTTCTTCCTGGTCAATTACCTGGACCTTTAGACAAACCAGGTCTACATGTATCTGACTTTTTATTTACACTCGCAGTTTGCACTGCTTCAGCTTTTGTAACTTTTATATATTCTTTATGTTAGACTAAAGAGATGCCAGAAAATTACCTTGCCTCACTGTTAGAGACAAATAACTGCATGATGCCTTTATTGCTAAGAGTATTATTCTGCTCCGAGTCACGAGTCAGATGAAGGCATTGTTGAGTTTAACACAGGTTGTGTCGTTGTACTCACTATTCAAAAGTATCTAACATGTGTCGTGCTACAGCCGTACAAAGAAATTAGGCTTTGAATAAGGTTATACAGGTATTTATAGTACACAGGTGACTGGTTTTGTCTACATAATAAAATCATTCAATTGTAAAAAGTCTCTACACTTAGAGCTAATTTCTTTATGATTGTAGAGTGATACTTTGGTTGGCTTGCTTGCTTTGTTTATATAAACATTTGCTCAAGCATTGTAATTAAGATTGACATCTTCAAACAATATAAATAGGCGGAGTTAATCAAATACATGCAAAAGTCAGCTTAAGATAGATTAATATTTGTTTTTTTAAAGAATTTGTGTGCCCAATTGTAACCCCCATTCCCCCCTCTTTTGCTTCATTGCTTTAGTCTGGGAAGAACCAACATATCAAGTTAGAATTAGCAATTCATTAAATATTCCCTTTTAAAGGCTAACTTTTGTTTACTGCTTGAATGAACACGATTAAGACAGAAAGTTGTGTCAGGAACTTGATTTTGATTGAACAAAGCTGTTATTTTAGAGGCATCAATATTTCAAGGCATAACACATATTTCCTCTTTCGCTACCAATATGGCAACTTGTCTGTTCCTAACAGACTTGGATCATTGACTTCGCACACAAACTATACCCTATTAACTTACCAATATTTCTCTACTAGACTTTTCCCCAACAAATTTCCTATTTTTTTCACATTTTTTCCAGCAAGTCACGTAACTTTTGGAGAGATACCACATGACCAAAATAAGACAAATTTTTCTGAAATTTTAATTTTCTGAATTAATCAATCAATTATCTTTCACATGAGCTTGGTTGTGAATGCTCTTTTTAAATGAACTGGGATAGTGTCTTTTGGATAAGTAAAGGTTTAAAATGTCTGAAAGGCAAAAGGTTAAAGTCTCAAAAAATCAAGTTTAAATCACATTGCAGAGAGAGAAATTGATGAATCTAATCCTGTAGAATAAAAAGTAATGTTGTGCATGTGTTGGGAGAAATCATATGTTGATTAGCAAAAGATAAACGAAAATACATTCCAAAATCTGCATTGCATAAAATGATAGGTATCAAGCTGTGACATGCTTATGTCAAATCTTCAATCAATTTTGATTATGCATCATGAAAACTGTAATCATTAAAATGAGAGGGCAGCTAAATTCCTGGTGAAATTTGAACCATTCTTCTAACTGATTGATAAAGTTATCTATGTATCCAGGGGTTTTTGTAGTACAACTGTTTATTATGAAGGTTACTGTGTTCTTTCATGTCACTTGGAAAAAAACGTTTTAACCAGAAACAGGAAATACTTAATGCTTGAATCAGTAGCAGACTGATCAGATGCCTCATTGTATGGAATTGTAAGTTTTTTATTGTTATTTGTTCTTGTGAATCTTAAATGACAAAGCATTATCTGACACTAAAGGCGGTACACATCATAAGATTTGTATCATAAGATTTGTATCAGAAGATTTGATTTTTGTATTATAAGACTCTTGTACACATGCCACAGATTAATCTTATAAGATTGTAAACAAACAATAATTTTGCTCATACTTCTTCCTGTCAATTTGTGTTCACAATGGGAAACCAAGTAGTTATAACAGTCTCTATTATTTTGCTTTTTCAACTCAAGAAGTTATTGAAAAAAGGGAATTTAAATACAAGAAAATGACAGCTGATCATGATGTATGCCATTGACTTATAATGGAACAAAGCTTGTATTCTATAGATAGAAAAATGTATATTAAATTATGTAGTCTAAAGGTGAAACATTTTGGCTGCTCTCTGTAACTAGCAGTATGCTTTCTACATATTTGACTGAGACTAACTTTGAAAATGTATTGTATAATAAGCACAACACACTTCTATATAATTCTGCATGTTAGGATGTGTGCATGTATATCAAGCTGTCTATGTTTACAACAACTACAATATCTAAATATTTCTAGGTTCCTTTAGTAACAAGTTCAGGTATTATAATCTTTCAAAAGACAGAATTAAGTATGATTTTCATATTTCTGACTATGTAAAGGAAACTGAATTGAAAGATTTACTATAGGTGAGCATTTTTATATTCAAATGCTCCTTTTTGCCCGTTGATTTTTATTCTATGTCTATTAAAAAATGCTATGGAAAGTTGTTGAAGGCCGTACGTTGACCTATAGTTGTTAACTTCTATGTCATTTGGTCGCTGGTGGAGAGTTGTCTCATTGGCAATCGTACCACATCTTCTTGTTTTTATATGGAAAGTCTGAATCAAAATGACCTAAATATGACTCTGATAATGTACTTTTGATACACATTCTTGACAAGCATAACATCAAAATGTGAATATTTTTTCATACAAATTACAAGCGCATACAGGTTATTTCAGCTTTACTTTCAACCACTGTAAAAATCAGTTTAGCTAAATAGTGGGTTGCCCCCTGTACAGTGCTGGAATCTGCCATATTTATTTGTCTGCTCTAACAAACCATAACTTACCAATTAAAAACACTTAAATAATTTGCTGCAATCCTGGCCAGGGGCGATATTAGAATCAGAATTTTGAAACCTCTTTTCAAAAGTCAACTTTCCTGAGCAGTCACTTTTGATACTTCCCATGAGTGACTGCTTAATACAGGTTTGACTGAACATAAAGAATGTGAAAATATTCACACTAATTCACTGTTGTAGCTTGGGTATTTTTTGCAGGGCCCAAAAAAGCCTGTAATTTTCCAATGTGGCTAACTCATGAATTCAATGGATGGCTGTATGACTGCCATTTTAACCATTTATGAACCATGAATGATCCTTAGGGTATCTACAACAATGTAGTTTAAAGTTTGCAATTTTCCCCTCAGTCATTCAAACATGGCCATCATGGCTAAAAATAAAAAAATACATTATTTGTATTATTTCTTGAAAATGGTAATAGATAGAAAAAATCTGGCAGGAGCAAAAATGCTCAGAATGTCAAGATCTACCTTCTTCTTATCTACACAAAAATTATCAGATGACTTCTTAAGGAGCTATTGCTCTTAAATGACAATAGTTTGTATTAGCTTAGGTTTGTCATTAATTATCTAAAGTGAAATAATAAACACTGCATGCATATTAAGGTTAAAGTTCATCAGTATTACAATATATTGCCCAATTAGAATTTCTGTTTAACATGAATGTATTTTGTTCTATTAATGGCTTACGCGTGTAAACGGATGATCCAGTATATTGTTTTGTATTTTGTAGATGCAATCAGTGAAAGCAATCCCCGTGTTATAGATGATACCAGAGCCAGAAAACTCGCCAATGACCTTAAAAGATGTTCATATTATGAGACATGTGCAACATATGGTTTGAATGTTGAGAGAGTGTTTCAAGATGGTACTCTATTAATTTTAGGCCCTGCCTACAATTAGGGGGGGGGGGGGTAATATTTTTTCTGGTCTGCATCTGTTCGTTTGTCATTATGATATTACCTTTTCAGGTTATATACCTTATTACAGTTTTACCCCTTTTTCATGGTCCACTGAACATAGAAATGTGAAATTGGTACATTCTCAGGTTGATGTATTTTGGTTAAGGTAGTTTACAATGGGGTTGTAGTCACATCAACATCTGTTCATTGTGAGTTGGACTTTTAAAATTATATGCCTAATTACAGTTTTGACCCTGATTCCACAGTTCACTGAACATGGACTTATGATAATGAGAGTAGGGCATGTAAGTACATACTGGCCTACCGACACATAATCTTGTTCTTTATGTTTTGGGGGTTTTTCACTTTGCATTTCCCTATACTAGAGTTATTTTGAACAAGTTGCAGCTTATCTGACACACTTAAATATTAAATATATATCTAAAGATTTGTGCAAGGATGGATACTGTTAAGATTATCCTGTATGAGTTTACTCTTTTGGGGCTATTCCATTCTGTGTTAAAGGACCCTATGGGAAATATATACAAATGTCTTCTTCTAGAAAACCGCTTAATGGATTGAAACCAAACATGGTACGAATGTTTCTTTAGAGGTGCTGAACAAGTGTTGTTACTTTATAGCTGATTTGTCATCCAAGATGGCTGCCAGCTGGAGGAGTAAGTTTAACATAGGACCATACGGGAAAAAGATACAAATGTTTTCTTCTAGAGAACCACTGAATAGAATGAAACCAAACATGGCATGAATGTTCCTAATGAGGTGCTGACCAAATGTTGTTACTTTGTAGCCGAACCATCATCTAAGATAACCGCCAGCAGGGGACTTAGTTTAACATAAGACCCTATGGGAAATACATACAAATGCTTCTTCTAGAGGAGCACTGAATGGAATGAAACCAAACATGGTATAAATGTTCCTTATGAGGTGCATGAAGTGTTGCTACTTTGTTGCCGATTTACTGTACAAGATGGCCACCAGGATTTTTTATTAAATTACGGGGCCAATATTAAACCAAATTTGGCCTCAATCATTATTAGGGTATCTGTTATGATTTTGATCTATTTTTACATGATTTACAAAACCAAAGTAGAATCAGGTGAGCGACACAGGCTCTTAGCCTCTAGTTTCTATTTGTGCAGAATTGTAAATTTTAGATGATTCTGTACCGATTATGCATCCACTCTTAAAGTCTAAAGGATGTAGTGTATTCATCATGTCTATATAAATAAGAAGATGTGGTATGAGTGCAAGGAGACAACTCTCCATCCAAGTCACAATGTTTAAAAAGTAAACTATTATAGGTCAAAGTATGGCCTTTAACATGGATCCTTGGCTCACATCAAACAGCAAGCTATAAAGGGCCCTAAAATGACCAGTGTAAAACAATTCAAACAGGAAAACCAACGGTCAAATCTATATAAAAAAAGAGAAACACTTATGAGCCACACCACCAATGACAACCACTGTCTGTCTGTCTGTTCTAACAAATATTTTCCTTAAACTATTCTCAGAAATTATTGAACAGAATGATTGATTGATAAGTTTTTAAGCCACTTTCAGCACTGTTGTGCTATATCGTGGCTGTCAGTTTTTATCTCACCTTGAAGGATGCAAAAAGTGAGATGTAGGTATTCTATTTCTGTTTGCGGCGGTGGTGTCGTCAACAGTATATTAGTTTGATTAGGTCAGTTTATGGGGAACCACTAGTGGTAGGTCAATAATATTTGGTATACAGTTGTATTAGCATTGGTATATCTCATTTCCATGGAGATTTTTTGGTTCCGCCCTATCAGTCATGGTCTATTGACTTTGAAACATTTTTGTTAGTTTACCTGTATTAGTTTGTGAGTAGGTCAGTTTATTGAGAACGACTAGTGGTAGGTCAATGATATTTGGTATGCCTTTGTATTAGCATTGGCACATCTCATTTCAGTGGAAGTTGTTTGGCACGGTACCTTCAGTCATGGTTCATTGACTTTGAATATTTTGCTTAACTTACATGTTAAAGTATTGCTATTTGAATTTCAACATGTGCATTTTACTGTTGAAGTAACAAATAGGGGAGTCATATCTCTGTGTTAACAGTTTAGCATTGTAGGAGGAAGCTGGAGAGATTCACTTACTTATCTTCGGTGGGAAAACTGACAATCCTAGTCAATTAAGATTGGAGTCGAGTGCACCTGCCACGTGCGGGATCCATATCACAACCTCAGTGTTGACAGGCTAGTGATACAGTAGTTCGACTACTTAGACCACTCGTCAATTGAGGCCCCTCTGACCAGAATGACTTTAAATGTGGTCATAAGCTTGACAGTGATGAGTTGTAAATTGAGAGCACAGATACCTTCTTCTTGTTTGCTCATACTTTAAATTTTCAATATGTTGAAAGAATTCAATTTTTCGTCACATATTTCTCCAATACTAATGAACATAATTACTTTATATTTGGTCAGCATGTCAACAGTGATTAGCACTAACGTATGTGCTCTTTCTGATCTGTCAGAAATCTACTTCCAGTTTCTCGATACATTGAATTAAGAGTTGAGTATGTTTAGCAGAACAAGACTTGCTCTCTTGTTGATACTGTTTAAGTTTATGTAGTACCTGTACATTTGCTGTAGTAAAACCTTGATCTAAAGACTTTCAACATGAAATTCAATCATTATCAGTAAAGCAGGCAAGATATTTCAGTGTCTGGAGTCTAGCATTTTTACAGGTTTATTATTCGTTTTATTAAGTAAACATATATTAAAATGGTTGAAGAGTTGTTATGATTTCATATTTTTTTGCCACTTCTAGCATAGGAAATTCATATTAACTTCACTATATTTTTCAGTATATTTACTAATGATATAAGGTTAAATGTTTCACTAATTAATATGCCATCTTTTTTCAGCTTGCCAGAGAATAGTCCAAACTCGTTACCCATCGCTTTCATCATCACCAATGCCAAGTGTTCCTATGACCCCAGTTCATTCTCATAGAGCATACTTCATATCGCAATCAAATGCTAGCAAACCATTCGATACACACAGTACCAGTAGTCAGTCTACATCAAGTTCTGGTACCCTTGTCACAGTAACACCTACCAGCAGTACCAGTAGTATTGTACAGGTAATCAATTACTTTGAATTAAGGAACCAAAGTCATCATATGAAAAACTTAAATATATTACTGAGTTAATGACTGATAAGTGGTTCATCTTTAAACTTATAATAAGCTTTAATAACTCTAGATATCTGTTTGTTATTTTTCTGATCTTTGTATACCCTTTATTTCATTTCATTTATGATTAAACAGGTCAGATACTATATGCAGTAGGTCAAATATAATTAGTACATGGAATGATTACACGATGTACATGTTCATCTTGCAGGGTTCATATCTGACTTTGACCTGTTTTTTATGGATCATTGATGATGTAAAGTTTATGTAATACCTTTAGTAAAACCTTTATCTTACAAACTTTCAACAAAACATTCAAGCATGCTCATTAAAGCAGCAGAGACATTTCAGTGTGTGCAATCTTGTTATCCATTGATAATAAGCACTTCATGGTGTTGAAATAAGCCAAAAGTTACAAAAAAATAAATGCAGAAGTTCTGTTTGTCTTTTATCAAAAATTTGAAATCCTGTATTTATAGATTCATAAATGTATTACAGAATAAATGTAGTCAAAGAACTTGAAATTGGTTGTATGATTTGAATTTATATTCAATTGAAGATTTCTTGCTGTTGTGCAATACACTGTGCTGTTTACTAAGTAAAAATTTAAAAAGTACTGTAATTATGAAAAATACCGTCAACACTTTAATATTTGAAAGACCGATTTAAAAGAAAAGACCTGAAGCTCTCTGAGCTCAGCTTCCAAATGAATAACCAATTATATTCCAGACTTTTGTTAGGGAAATCTGATAAGATTTATTGAAATCTACAAGATGAAAGAAGGAATTTGTTCTGAAGCTTAAAAAATATATCAGTAAATACTTATTTTGTATTAAAATTGCATAATAGTTATTATGCCCCTGCTGCAGCTGAGGGGGCATTAAGTGTTACCCTTGTCTGTCTGTACATACGTCCCAAATTGGTTTCTGTTTTCTAACTTTAGTTTGCCTTAACCAAATGTTATGAAACTTCTACACAATGCTTATTACCACAAAACTCAGATCAAGTGCAAATTTGGGTGGCTTGGCTTTTACCATTCTCTAGTTATTCCCCTTTTTAATGTTATATGCAAGTAGGGGCATCATCTGTGTCCCATGGACACATTCTCCATTTATATTGTTAGGCATATCATTATGATTAACAAATTTAAGGATTTGAAAAAGAATAATGTGCACTCTACTTTGTCTAGCAAAAAACATGGCATGGTTTTAACATTTTCTGATATTTCTTGCTTAAAGTATTGTATTAATCTCACCCCTGCCTGGCAATTTGAGTTTTAAGAAAAAACTGTGGTTAAAGATTTTTAAACAAAGAACTTTGTCAAACATTCATGGAGTTTTACGAAACTTGGCAGAAGTTTCTGCATAATCAAGAAATAGCACCCTTAGGAAAATTTAGATTTTGACAAATACTGACTTGAATGAACTTTTTGGTTTACTCAACTGAAGTTTGCTGATATGGAGATAATAGAAAGTAAAAAGATCCAATTTTAGGGTTTAACAAGTGACCAAGTTAACTTGGTGATACATTTTATACCTGACTTTTTGAAACAGGTGTTATACAATGATGGGGTGTTCGTCTGTCTGTCAACTTTTGTATCGACTACTGTTGAGCTAGTTGACAAGACATTTTTTATACGACCGCAAAAAATTTTTTTCAATTTTTTTGGGGGGGGGGGGGGGGGGGGGGGGGGGTTCATACTTTTTTCTTCAAGATTTTTCAAAATTTCAAATTTTTTCAAAAATTGATTAATGGGAGGGGACAAATCTTTTGGGGGATTTTTTTTTCATAACTTTTTGGGTTTTTTTCCCAAAAAAATTTCATTTTTACATTGATTATTTCTGATTTATATATAAAAGCAACAAATACTGATATGGCAGGAGATACACACCAAACAGGGTGTGTAAATTATTAGTTATAACAGATTAACTAAGTATTGTGCAACAGCACAGTATTGCACAATAGCACAGTATTGCGGAATATCACAGTATTGTGCAATAGCAAGAAATCTTCAATTGAAAATAAATACAAATCTTTTAACCAATTTCAATGGGATTAATTTAAAGTCTTTAATTTTTGGGGGTTCTAACCTTGTATTACTATTTTGGATATGGGCCCCATTTTTAAATTGGTCTACATTGAGGTCCAAAGGGTCCAAAATTAAACTTTGTTTGATTGCATCAAAAACTGAATTATTGCGGCTCTATGATATGCTGAATCTTATTGTGCATTTAGATTTTTTATTTTGGGCCCAATTTTCAAATTAGTCCCTATTAAGGTTTGAAGGGTCCAGAATTAAACTTTGTTTGATTTCAACTAAAATTAAATTTTTGTTTGTCTTTTGTATGCTGAATCTAACCATGTTGTTAGATTTTGGATATCAGACCATACTAGGTAAATTAAATGTCCCATTTCAAATTTTTAAGATCTTTGACCACATTTATTTTGTGTCAGAAACCTATATGATGTCAAAAATTTGATCACAATCCAAATTCAGACAGATCAAGCTTGAATATTGTGTCCAAACTTGCCCCAACTGTTCAGGGTTCTCTGTGGTCGTTTCAGGCTGCGCTCATTAAAGCATTTTATTAAACTTTCATAGAAGTTTACTCACATGATGTACTTGTGCACCTATTTCATTTCTTCATCCAAATGATTTTTGGGTTTTCTTTGGCATGTCATGGATTTTTTCATATCTGCACTCTGCATTACACATTTGTATACACTTTTTTTCTTCGAATCTTCACATATAATACCATTGTGCATTCCTATTTTGATTATTGAGACAAATTATATTTGGGTTAATTTCCCTAAGCAATTCATGGACTTTGACTTTTGAAACTTTTATTGAAACTTGGCCATATAATGGCTATTGTTAACCTCCTTATTTTTGTCCCGTACATAACACATTGCAGGGGAAATAGAAATATCGGGCATCTGTCCATTCGTCTGTCTGGTATTGTAAACGGTCTCACATGTACAATTCTTGACAGATTTTGATCAAACTTATATCAGAGGCTTATATCAGCAATGCCTCTGATTAGAAAGAAAAACAATGTTGATCAACTATTTTGAAAAGATTTATGCCCCTTGGATATATTATTTATGTAGAAAATTGCATTACCAGCTCTTTCAAGCATACATTTCTTTAAGATATTAAAGAACCCCAAAAAAAAAATGTTTTCTAGTTATTGCCATTGGACAGGTAAAATATGCGTAACGTAGAGGACACTGGAGATCTGTTCTTTTATTATACCCCCGCTTTAAAAAAGTGGGGGTACACTGTTTTACCTCTGTCTGTCCATCAGTCTGTCTGTTCATCCCATGAATATTTTTCATCGCATCTTTCTCAGGAACTACATCATAAGGATTTCTGAAGTTTGGTTTCAGGGTTTATATAAGTCAGCTATACTGTGTGATGCGTTTTTAGATTCATCACTCAACAACTTTCTGTTTACCGAACACTTACATATTTTTACACTATTAAAATTATCCAGTTGCAGCGGAGGTATCATCAGTGAGCAGTAGCTGGCAGTTTCACTTGCTTTATTTATTTATTTTTTTAGAAACATTTTGGGTGGAGGAGTAGTATTCATCTGTGAGATCTGCTTAATGGCACTGTTTGGTGTTTTTTTACTTCAGCTAATCCATAAATGCTTTTGTAGAGCCAAAGTAACTTAAAAGAAGAAAAAAGTAAGGAAAAAGAAGGAAAGTCAGAGAAGCAAGAGAAAAGTGATAGAAAGAAAGAAAAACAAATGAAGCAAGAACAGAATCAGTTAGATGAGGTAGTCATAATGATATGTCCACTTTATTCTATCTACTCATTAACAGTCAAAATATGACGTACAAAGTTGAAACTGTCAATGTTATAAAACATATTTTGTAAGTTCTTTGTAATTTTTTTTTAAACAAAAGTCTCATCACAATATTTAAAGATTAGAATGAAGAATGGAGATAGGTAACTCATCTTCTAAGCAAGTTAATTTTGACTTGGATGGAGAGTTGTCTCATTGGCACTCATACCACATCTTCTTATATCTACTATCAATTATTAAAAAGCAAAGAATGTCAACATTGAAAAGTGAAACAAGGGACCCATCATGAAGAACCATTTTGTTGACAGATTCAGCCCACAAAAAAGTCGTTCATATACAGTTAAAATAATGATATACATTTTTATTGAGCCTGCAACAATTATGTCACGGAAGCATTACATAGGTCCTAGATTCTGTTACTGTCAGCAGCGATTAGGTTCAAACTGTTTTTTTTTAAGACATCAATAACTTTGTCAAACTTTTATGAAATTTGGAGAGGAGCTTTTTTATGCAAAATTTTGAAAATATTTATTATCTTTTTCTGTATTTTACTTATAGATGGACTTCAAGTTTTTGCAATTAGAGTCTAAGGTTAAAAAAAAATTTCAGTCTTCAATAAGTTTGTCTATTTTTCATTTTTGGCCTAGTTGGACGAAGTCTAAAACTGGCTTACAGTATGTGATGTCTGGCAGAGGGCCAGCAGACAGGGAAAAGTGGGATCTTAATTTGAGTAATCAACTCCTCCTACAGTTTTCAACCCAGATCCCTGAAACTTCAGAGGTGTTGAAGGTGTGCACCTGCTATTATGGATTTTTTTAAATATTTTTCCGGCTTAGGAACTAAGTCTTTTTTCAGTAAAATTTTTGAAAGAGCGTAGAAGTTTTATGTAGTCAACCTCTTTCAGCTTTCAACCCAGATCCCTAATACTTCACATGAAGATTGCACATATGTTGAAGTTGTTATGGAATTGTTTAAGGAATTTTTCTACAGGAAATTGAGTGGAATTGTTTAAGGAATTTTTGCTACAGGAAATTGAGTATCTATCCATTTATCATTCAATCAGCCGGTCATATTTGGCAGGATTGAGCAAACCCTACCAATCAGCCGGTCATATTTGGCAGGATTGAGCAAACCCTACCAGAGAATATTCCTTATAAACTCCCCCACGAAATATTCCTTCAGAACATAATTTCAACTTTGCAAGGTATATATTTATCAGGCTTCTTTACTACATTTTGTCTTTCCAGAAACTATAATAGGGTCAATAATTTGTTCTTTAAGATGAATTAATTTAAAGTGGCATTAGCTGTCAAATTCATGATCACTGATTTGACTTAAATTCTCATATTTGATTTATAACATACTAAAACTTAAATCCAAATTACAGAAAGTTCAAAAAATTGATTAAGTATGCATGGACTCGGTATAAGTATCAGCATTTCGTGCATATTTTAGACTAGACGCTATCTAATTAACCATTGAGATTACCTCCGAAGACTGCTGCTAGTCATTTGACCCGATATAAACATAAATATGAATATAAATACATTGAGAAGTTGTGTAATTACGATCTAGATATAATGATTACTTGTGGTCCTAATTGGTCAAAGAAATGTTGTTTTTTTATGGTGGATCCAATGTTTCACCTTTTAATGTTGACATTCTTTTCTTTTTGATAACTGAACATGCTTAGGGCATGCATAGCCCATCTTCAGCTAAAGGTCAAGTTAGGGTAACATGAATACGGGTTCAACTGAGGTTGAATTATTCACTTGCAAGTCAATAACATATTTGGAATGTGTTCGATCTTATTTTGACCAAATTGAACCAAATTGACGGCTAATAGTGAAATAGTATTTCATTATTCCGCTTTTATAACTATTTGAAACAAAAAAAATCACATTTTAATTTTTTGTTTAAATGGCAGCTAATGCCCCTTTTATGTTCTAGCATTTTTTTCATCACTTGGCTTCCATCATTTCTTGTCATCAGTACCTTTGAAATCACCAGACCAATTTAAACAAAGTTTACTTGAATCATACACAGGTAGTTCTTTATAAATTGTATCTGATGATTCCACTTGTTGAAAAATATGGGCATTTATCAATAAATAGAAGATAATGATAATGTCAAAATGATATTTTTGAAAGGCCTGCAACAGATACTGCTTAAGTCGCTTAGTATTTGTATAATGCTTGTTAATTCTGTAGGTAGAGAATAAAGCTTGTGACATTTTCAGGAAAAATTTTCATGTGACAACCCAATGGGGCTAATAATGCATAAAAAAAAACCTTTTCTGAAAAGCTTTTGTGGGACCAAAAAAAATAAAAGCTTTGTTAATCAGTATAACAATTATTTTTTATCTTAAAACTGTTTTTGAAACAAGAAATTTGAACTTATTTTTTATGTCTGAAATATTTTTAATGTCTTTTTGAGGTTAAATAAATGCTTATATAGTCATTATAGTAATTTCATTTACTTCATGAACGTAATTGGTTTGCCATGATTTTTTACTATCTGTACTTTAAATCAGGTCATATCATGTCTACTCATATGTAATCACAATATATGCTTATTTCCAAGAGTTGCAACTATGCTCATTTTAAAAAAAGATTTTTGCTAATTGAATAAAATGTAACTTTATGGTACTTTTAGCCGCTCCAGAATACACTCTTGTTACTCAATACTTTAAAGCAAGCTTAAAACTTCTTGCATTTAAATCAGAAAAATAGCATTAAATGTGTAAATTTACAGGACACTTTCCATGTCACTTTTTTTTTTTGTGTGGAAACTATTCCTATTTTTGTGTATGAAATGGTATAAGCCTCCTATTGACAGCCACAGTAGTTTTATTAACTTTTGACCCCCTCATTAAAATTTAATAAAAACACGTGTAACTTACAATTAAACAAAAATTCTGAAGTTTATTTCTTGCACATTCTTGCACATTCATTTTTTCATGCATAGGTTTTATTTTCAGACATATTTCAAATAGCAGTCACATCAAATCATTTTCATTTATTAAAATGTGCATATATTGCACGTTTATGTTGTTAAACATTTGGTTGATATAAGGAATTGATTATTGATTTTATTACAAGACAAAACTGTAAGAAAGGAAAGGAAAGTTCAAGTTTAAATATTGGGGTGTCCTTGAGTAATGTCCTTTTATAAATAGAAAAATTGCTGAATATGCCTTTTCCATATCGAATTTGAATTTGAGTGGCGTCACTTTCACAGTTCTTGAGTTATGTTTCTATATAAATGGAAAAATTGCAGAATTTGCCATGTCCACTTCAAAATTGGGGCATCTGTATTCCATGAGGGAGGATTGAGATCTCACAAAACTTGTTTAACCCTGCCGCATTTTTGCGCCTGTCCCAAAGCAGGAACTACTGGCCTTTGTTAGTCTTGTAAGTTGTATCTTTTTTAATTTTGTTCATTTATATGTTTTGGATTTTAGTGTAAGGTCCATTTTCGCTGAACTAGTATACATAATTGTTTAGGGGCCAGCTGAAGCCCGCCTCCATGTGTTGGATTTTCTCGCTGTGTTGAAGACCCTTTGGTGGCCTTGGGCTGTTTTCTGCTCTTTGGTCGGTTGTTGTCTATTTGACACATTCCCAGTTTCCATTCTCAATTTTACACATTATTCATTTATTTTTTTCTTGTCATGATGCAATATAAAAACAGAATAACGAAGAAGTTAGTAAGGATAACCATATACTAAAAGTAAGAAGGATTTGAATTTGGTGGTATCTAGCTTCATCCATTAATGATATAATGGCCGTACTTTGAAACAATAACAATATTACAAGCAGCCAATTCACAAACCCAATTTTACTTTTAGGATGCCACATTAACAATATATTTTGATAGTCATTGTTGTAATTGACCGACACTTTATTGAGTTAATATCAGAAAAACCAACAACTTATTTGTTGTGTCGCCTGGTAATGATACAACTGTAGGGATTACTTCAGTCGTCCATGTCACATTTTGTGAATACACAACTCTTTGATAACAGCATGAAAGAATTCAACCAAACTTGCACATGCTCATCTACTGGACATGAAGTTGTGCCCCTGCTTTTTTTTATCATAGTGATTTTTGATGTTTCCCATATCAAAACAAGGATTTTTCTGCTTATATTATTTGCCATCATGGAGATGGAGTATGACACACACATCTCCCTTACTTATGTTTATTTACACTTACAAAATGTTGACTGAAATTTGGAAGAGAGAAAATTTCCACCATTAAATTGGCTAGCCACACAAAAAATGAGATGAATTACTGGAAATCTCGCAAGATCTCAGCATACACAACATATTTCCATATAGTCTATGCAAACTTGCCACAAGATTCAAATTTCTATTAAAATCAAGATTTCAGATATCATTACCTTTTAATTTCTCTTCTTTCATTTAGGGATATGGATTAATAACTCGTATTGACTTTATTTTAGGAACAAAAACTTTGAAATGTCTTATTGTTTTAGAGTCATTCTAACATTAACAATCAAGGTACACATTCGCTTGCTGGAAAGACAAAGTATTATTTGAAAATATGTTAAACAGATAAAATAACAAAATTTAACATATGCTTAGCAATACATTTTTATAAGTCTTAATTTTTCATTCTCAAGGTAGAGTAAAAAAGTGGAATAGAAGGTGGTTAAAAGAAGTTTAATCTTCTTACATACTCTATATTTATACCAGAACTCCTCAGATTTGTTTGTTTTTGTTTTTACTTAACTTTTGGACTACATAAACTAGAATACACATTTTAATTGTGGTTTGTGTAATGCTTTTTCTGTTGTACTTGGCTTTTGATTCTACCCTTTAATTTGTCATTGCAGCTTTTGAATTTATATTGCAGCGCTTGATTACTCCTTTCAAAAAAATTAATCAACTTAAATGAAGGGGGAGAAGGGACCTGTGGAAGAAGTAATGTGAAACTTCAATAAATCTGTGAATATTCACGAACTATGTTTCAATTGAAATGTTTGAACCTGACAGTCCTAAAATGATAATTTATTTGACCAAAAACAAAACACAAAACAAAAAAGAATTACTTTCTGACAGATCTCAGCATAAAATGGCATTATAATTCACCGTTTCAGAATCTAATGCGTTCTGAGTAATTTTTTCAAAAGCATAGACCAAAACATGATTGGTTAACAGTGTCGTAAACAATGAAATGCAATGAATGAGTCAATGTTATTTTTCAATTTAGTATACCAACAATGAAACTACCCACAGCCCTTCAGGTTCTGAAACAGTGAATTGTGAGGCCTGCCTTGTATTGCTTTGTGAATTCATATTTAAAGAATATGTTGCAGCTTAACAGAAAACCTTTGTCAACAATTTTAGTTACAGGTTAAAACACTTGCATCATTATCAAAAACAATTCTGTGTGGTGAATTTATTTCATTATATTTTTATGCTTCACATTTATTTTCTTCCCATTAGACTAATGCATGTTGCATGTTTTGTGGATTTTGTCGTTGTAGGCTGACAGATGGGAAATTAATGATATATCTACCTCTACACCACTATCCTCACGTAAAAACAAGAAAATGTCTGTTATACAGAAGTCCAATTCATTCAGTGTAAGTCCAGATTTGCTTGTGAAGTAATATCACAAATCTTCCTGTGATAATTAGTGATTAGATTGTTTAACGCAATACAGCATGTTAACCTGAGTATAAAGATTACCTCTGTATAGTGTTTTATTTTAATTGTTTATGAATTCAGTCAGAATAGCAAAATCCATGTATATCATGCTTTTGTTACATGTGTGCGGAAAATAGTACAAATATTCATAAAATCACTCATTTCAACATGAATTATCTCAGTTATATTTTTCCATCACTTATTATTTAATAAGTACTAAAATATTGAATTTTTTTGTCAGTCTATGATATGAATATTGTCTCATTTTATTATAATATGGCCTTGCAGAGGTCATCTTTGTAGTACAGAGTGTTGTCTTGCTATCCTGTCCCAACAAATTGCTATAGTTCTGTTAGTATGTGTTGCTCTTGGTGTTGTTAGTATGAAAGAATGGAAGAATTGTAAAAGCTAGAATCAAACATTTTTTTATTCAATTAAAAAATTTAGATTATTTAAGAATGACATTTACAACTGTGAAGGAATTGGATTTTGATTTCAGAGATACTTGGTTTTAACCATGTCCTTCTTTAAGACTTTTTTCCAAATGTGACATGTATGGCAAGGATTTAAAGAACTTTGAATGGAGGGGAAGGGTGTTGGAGGGTGCCATCTTTATAAGAAATGGTTTAAATCATATTTTGTTATTTTGTCATCTTTGCCAATGATGTTGTGAAGGAAGGCATAAATGTGAATTTTCTAGTGTTGTTCAGAGCCTTGTCAGATCCTAAAGATAGCTTTTCAGAAAAGGTTCATTTCAGAATAAATACTTGGGACACAGTTTAATATTTTAGAAAAAGAGACTTGAGAGGTTTTGGGTCATTTTTGTTTTTGCCCCATCATTGATGGGCATTAATGTCTATGAGTATGTCTGTTAGTTAGTCAGTCTGTCTGTTCATCCATATGCTACTCAGTCCATCCACCAGTCCTTAATCAGGTTAAAGTTTGGCTTTTAGGTAGTTAAATGTGATGATGTATCTGTATTCACATCATTATTAAGCTAAGTATACATGTTCATTATGACGTGCACTTTTCTAAACATATGCCAAATTAAGGTTTTGACCAAGATTTCTTAGTACACTGGAACATGGATTTTTATCAGGTTAAAGGTAGTTTTTCCTATAGTTTTGGTTACAATTAACACTATTGTAACACAATAACACGTTGTGAATGCAACTCTTTCGAGAAATTATGACAAAAAGCTCTCTTGGCAAGATTGTTTGTAATCATATGTAGTAGACCCGTAAAAGTTATTATTTCATTATAAAGGTATAGTAGACCTTACTATTCTTCTTTAATGATTTCATAATTTTTACAGGAGCTATGTGACAAACCATTTTTTTTTTACTATTTATTACTATTGTAATACAAGGACATCTTGTGGACAAAATCCTTTTGATATTGTTTGACACAAAGCTCTCATACATGTTAGGATTGTTAGTCGAGATTAGTTGTAGACCATAATTTACAGTCATTTTGAGTTGATAATTTTCAAGGGAGTTGTTGGATTTTGACCATTTTATTCTTGTTACAAAATAACACCTTTATGAACACATCACCTCTGAAACTATTTACCAGTAAGGTTTCATACTTGGTAGTGACTAATACCTTTTTGGATAAGAGTACATTGTACAGGGGACTATGAATAAAGAAAATTCAGAATGTATTATTTCATTTTAAAAAGAGATCTCCCTGGAAAAGGCTAGTACACATGTTACTTTGGATGCTTTTTTTTTCATTCATATTAATGGGTAAATGACCCTCAGATCAGCTATGACAGGGATTCCCTTCCCAGATCTTTTCAGGAAATGGTTCAAAATGTGTTGTTTAGTGGTAGTTAATGATGTGTAAATTTTTTGAATGATTACTTCTAAGCAATTGGACTATGTTGGGCATATAGTAAAGTAGTTAAAAAGCTCCTTTAAGACCCTGTTACAATTTAAATCAAACTTCATGAAATTTTCCTCGGCTCTTTTTGTTTAAATATAAACTTAGTGATAGTCATGTAAATGATTCTGACTCTTTAGAATCTCTACTTTCATTATCTGTTTTTCTCAGTTGGCTTTGTGATCTTTTTGCATGCAATGCTTGTTTTTGTTCATCCCTAGGGAGCAACAGAGCTGCGACAACAGACACTGAATCCTTCCACTACCACACCTATTTTGAGTCGGAAAAATTCAAAGTTTTTAAAATCATCTTTCCTAAGTGTAAGTGATACAAACCACAGTTATATTAGAGTGGTATAGTTAAAACAATGCTAGTTTTAAAATACTAACAGTATTTAACCAACATATAACCACTCTTACCACTATTGTACATAGAATCTCTCATTAATATTTGATTATGTTAATATTGTAAAGAATGTAATAAATAGTATTGAATGAAATATGATAAATAAAATGTAGATATCATTTAGCTGAGGGAGTAAACTGTAAAGATAGATTTGTGCAGATATGTTTGTTAGGTGGTTGTTATAGCTCCCTGACTGATATATCACGGTGCATAGAATGTCCGTAAATGTTGCAAGCTTCAGTTTGTTTTCCTATTAAAATTTCACTGTCTTCTAGGATTCAAGTAACTGAACATCTACCGTAGAGTATATACAAAATATCAAATTTGTAGACACTACTACTGTTTAACAATTTAATATAGCATTACATAAACTGGGTGGTCCTAATATATTGTTCACTACTTTTTGTTCGGGTAAAATAAAGTACTCATCGATCAATAAAACTTCCTAAAAACTATAAATTTATATGAATTATATATATGTGTGTGTGTGCAATATTTCCACTGCAGTGTGGGTGTTGAGGCTTCATGTGTAACTATTTTAAGGTATCATAAGTGATTTCTTTATGTTATTCTGAGAATCAAAAGAATAAGATGGAAAGTTTAGATTTTCTCCCTCATAATGGTAACTTTTCTAATTGCAACATATCCCTGTAACTGAATTTTTTATAACTCAACTAGCAAGAATAACTAAAAGGTTTAAGATTAAACAGTTTCTTTCACTCATGATTTTTTAGCACTTTCCAGATCTAATTCACCTTTTAGAATTAAAACAAAGACTTGCATGATTGCCAATGAATCATGTATGTTTTTCTTTTATTCTTAGCCTTGTACACTTTTATATCCCTGCTTTTTGGATCAGTCGGTAAATAGTGATGGGGGAGTCTGTCTGTCTGTTTGTTGTTTGTCCTTCAGTCCATCTTTCGTATCCACAACTGCTCCTGAACTGCTTGATAAAATTATGTTAAATTTTTACAGTTTATGCAACTTCTTATAGGAGTAATGGTCCTTAAATAATCAATTTTACGAATTTTTGTTTTACATTTTTGCCTTTTATCTTGAAAAATATAAGAGATAGAGAGAAGCTTTGAATAGCAAAAATGATCAGCAAGACATAATGTACTAATAAGTTAATTTGGCCGACATCATAAGTCAACTTCTTATTGGAGTTATTGATCTTTAATCACAATTTTTTACCTTTTTTGTGTGCGTTTTTGCCTATTATCTTGGAACTATAATAGATAAATAGAAACTTTAAAAGCAAAAATGATCAGCAGGATAAAATCTACAAATATGTCAACATGACTGAAATGGTCTATTTAAATCTTTATAGAGTTATTGCCCTTTAATGATGATTTTTACAGAAAAGTGACCATTGTTGAAGATGCAGGTGAGCGACGCAGGCTCTTCAGAGCCTCTAGTTTATTTTAATAGAATCAAGTATAAAGTTGTTTGGATATATTTTAGGACATTATAAATAAATGTCAAACTTTGCTTAAATCACTGATGATACCTATGCTTATTCTAGTAACATTTTTGTTTTAGTTTGAGCATTAGTTGCTGTTTTGAATGTCATTGTCAGTTTGACGATTGTTAACTCTTATTGCATTCAAAACTTGTGTTAGTTTATGAAAATTCTTTCAGTTACCATCTAGAAAGATTTATTTATTTATGTTATATTTTATTTTATCATTTATTTATTTATGTGTTGTTATTTATTGTTTGAAGAATCAACATTTATTATTTTTTGTCAAAAGATATTTAAAAATCTTAATGAATATATTTCAGGTATTTTTTATAATATTCTTGGTGTATGTCATTTCAGTTATGCATTAGTATTAGTGGCTTTGCTTGGGTAAAAATAATAGTGGTTATTTTTATAGATTTAAAATCAAACCACAAGTGTATATATCTTCTAACAGTGTCTAAACAGTGCTTTAAGTTAGATCATATATCTTCTAAACATTTTTTCTGCAACACATTTCTCAGTCACTGTAAAGAAATTTCATAAAAAATTAGTTTCGTCTCTCGTCGCAGTATGGGAGACATAGGGATTACTATCCGGTGGCAGCGGCAGTGTAAAATATTTGTATAAGCTTTATATTTCAAAAGGTAGAAGACCTGGACCTCATGTTACCAATTTTCTGTATGTCATATGTCCATTGTCCTTGACCTCATTTTCATGTTTCAGCTACTGTTTAAAGACAAATTATATTTTTTTTTGTCATGGGAATTTCTCACTGATTATGAGTAATTGGATAACTATATTTGGAATATGGGTTCCTTGCAACGTCTACATGTCAGTCAGACAGGGTTCACCTGATCTTAACCTCATTTCATGGATCAGTAATCAAGATTAAAATTACGTGATTAGGTCCTTTTTTCAAGAACTCTAAGCAATATGTCAACTATATTTGGTTTATGGATTGATTTTATGGTATACATGTCTGTCTGGCAGGTATTATCTGACCCTGACCTCATTTTCATGGTTCATTGGTCAATGTTATGTGTTTTGTTTTGATCCGTTTGTTTGAAAACTATAAGCAGTAGGTTAACTATATTTGATTTATGGAATAATTGTAAGGTGATCTAAGGTGTACATGTATGTTTGGCAGGTATTATCTAACCTTGACCTCATTTTCATCGTTCATAGGTCAGTGTTAAGTTTTTTTGTTTTTTTTGTCTCTTTTTTAAATTACCATAAGTAATAGGTCAACTATGATTGGTGTAATGACCTTGACCTGATTGTCATGTTAGAGCTAGGTGAGAGACACAGGCTCTAGTATTCAGTTATATATGATTAATAGGACAACTATATTTTGTATATAGAATCATGGGAAGGTATACATGTCTGTCAAAGGTTTTGGATTGACATTGATTTTCTTTCATGGATCAGTGATCAACATTGAGTTTTGTTGTTCGGTCTGTTTCTCAGATACAATTAGCAGTACATCAACTATATTTGGTGTATGGAATGATTGTAAGGTGTACATGTCCATCTTGCTGGCTTTATCTTTATTTATATTTTTTAAGATTTGCAACTCAAGGTTGAGTAAACAACATATAATCAATGTGTGGTTAGAGGAGCATAGGCTGGCTTTTAACTTGTACTTTTTTATAAAATGCTATTTTGTGTACAGGTGTGTTAAATAAGAATCTCAAAATTTATAATCTGTTGTGTTTGTGTTTTTGAAAATAAAATTCTAAAAATATAAAATCAACATAGATCTATAAAATGTTGTTTACACAAATAATTTTACCAAATGAAAACCTATGTAATAGTCCTTTACTATAAGTTATTAGTTTTCCTTTTTTGTCATAATTCTGTAAGATTTTATTTTGAACCATTTTGGGATAAGCTGTTTCATTCTAATATATGAAATGGAACCATCTAAACAGAAAATTTGTTATGAAGTAAAAAAGTAACAGATGACTACCACAACCGACTGTGCAAGACCCTTATGAGTAGTCAAGGTCGTTAACCACCCTTGTGTAGTAGATGATCACAAACAATTTGTTATTTTCTTGTCCACAAATTTTTCATTCATTTTGATACCAAAAGCAAGGTAATTACCTAGCAAAAAGGATGAAACTGACCCCTCTGAGCATCATATTCCCCTCTGAAGATTGAGACCCCATCTTGCGACGTTACGTGCGGTTAATATACTTAACGTTTTGAAGGTGTTTTTTTTTTTAAATAGCGATAGTAAAGTTATTATCATGTTCAAATTTATTCCAGACGTTAAAACAAAAAGACTAATAATTAAGTTTTGATCCGTACTGTTTACCAATGTTTTTATGTCGTGTTTAGTTATAAAAACAAGCGGATAAGAAATTTTTTTTATGTAAATTCATATTTTATGTTCAGGTAATAAACTAAGCATAGGCAGTGGAATAAAACATTCATTTCCCTTGGCATTGGGAGATATGAAGATTTGTTCACCCTCGAAAAATCATATTTCCCTCGGGCAAAACCCTCGTGAAATATGAATCTTCTTGAGTGAACAAGTCTTCATATCTCCCTTAGGCACTTGAAATAAATGTATAGTATTCGTGCATTGTGTTTGCAAGTTTTTGTCACATGCTTTCCTGCTTGAAGCTCATTTTTCACCCTGTATCATGAACATTGATAGAAAGCAACATAAAGCTATTTTTTTATTTTTCGTTTGTCGTGATTTGACCATTTTTGCCCCTATTGTAAATGGACTTCTTTGATGATGACATGCATTATATGTTTGAATAGGTGAGAAAAAAATGTTTGGCAACAAATTTTAAAGAATGATGACAAAAAATGGAGATCATAGACATTTTGCTAAAGCTTAGGTGCACAGTAACTTTATACATATTTATTTCTTGTAAAAAAATAGTTTTTTGATGACAGACCAACCTGAATCTTTCACATAAAAAAAATCTAGTTAACCAACAAAAGATTTGACCATTTTTGCCCCGATTGTATATGGACTTATATGACGATGACATGCATTATATGTTTGAACAGCTGAGAAAAAATGTTTGGCAACAAACTTTAAAGAATGATGACAAAAAATGGAGAACATAGTTATTGTGCTATAGCTTAGGTACACATTAACTTTATACATATTTATTTCTTGTAAAAAAATAGTTTTTTGATGACAGACCAACCTGAATCTTTCACAGAAAAAAAATCTGTTAACCTACAAATTAAAAAAACCCTGGCCTTGTGGGGATGATTTTCAAACACAGATTTATGGTAGCTATTGTGCTTTCACTGTAAAATAATGAGCTATCAAATCATGTGTTATATATTGTCATTTACTTTGAAAAGTAGTAAAATAAAGTCATACTTATTTAGATGTTTTAACTCCATTTGATTGTGAATTGATATTAAGATGATCAACTTGCTTTCAGATTCCAGTTGTATGATGATTACTATTTTGACCTGTTTTCTTTATTTTATTTTTTTTTTACTTGCATCTGTAGGACAAACTGGATAAGTATATGATGGAATTACATATCCATGAAAATTCTCCTTTCACTCCACTTCTGAATCGAATGACTCGTGTACGATCCAGTCTGGTTCTAGTAAGTCACGTCTTAGCGTGTATTATGCCTTTTCTCCTTCTTTCTTTGCATTTTTCATAAGTGCTGTATTTCTTGTTATTTATACCACATTTGTATTGCAGTGGAGATTTTCCCCTTCATATTGCTATAGCTTGTATTGCAATTTTATGCAGTTCAAGATGGTTATTTTAGAATTTTTAAGCATTAGTTTTGCTTTTCCTAACCCCTTTTTATGCTATGCTTTTCTAAATGTCTGAAAATATAATGCTTGAATGGTTTCCTAATTTTGCATTCCAAATTAACAATATAGGTTTATATATAATGATTTTTTTTACAGTATGTTTAATGCTTTAAGAATATTGAAATTAAAAAAGGATAGTTCACTAGAAATGGTAAAATTTTTGAAATTTGGATGAAATATTTAACAAAACTTTTATACTCTATCTAGGAATGTTAAGCATGATATTTAATTGTCTTTTTTCCCTTTTTCATTGAAAGCATGTCCAAATGTAAAAATATAAACTCTTATAAAAGATTATTTATATCACACATAAACAAAAATATATATATTAATACATAAGAATATCACAAAATAGAATATATGCTTTAAATTATTGAGCAATCATACATGTACTTTACAAAATAATTTTGAGTCCAATAAATAGTGTTGAAAATGTATGCTATGATAAATGCCAAGTGCTCAAATTTCTTCCATTCTCTAAATAAGTGTTATACATTTATATTTTATAGAATTTGAATGAATGTCATTGTGTTGTAATTTTCCTCAGTTTTCTTTATTTTGTTTTTGCATATTAAATTGATTTAGTTAATATTCTTTATACCACTGTTATTTTTGTTGTATATAATAGTATGGTGCTATCATCTTCATTGTACATCTGTATATACTTTAATCTCATCTATCCCATTGAGCTATTGTAAGCTTTATTATCATTCATCTCAAACCTTCCAAAACTCTATAACCACTGTTCACAAAGCAAATTGGAACAAAACTTTGCCACAATCAACCTTAGATAGACAATAAAGGAGATGTAAGGTTTTACCAAAATATTACATTGATGACCCTAGTTGCCAAGAAATATGAGCACATTACTAAAAATTTTATTTTCTACAGTAAAATTAGTATAAAAAAAATGAAAAAATCAATGAAGGACCAATTGCTATTAAAATTTGGTTAAATTATAGATATGATAACAATCCTACAAAGAATCAATTGCTACCAAACATTTGGGAAATTAAAATTGTGACAGCCATTTGAAAGTATAGTTGATAACCCCAATTGATATCAAGAACTGTTGTAAAATTAGAACATTGTTTGAAAAGTCAAACCTGACATTGATTTTTTTCTTATCTTATAATAAAATGGTATAATATTTCTGGAAGCCATATTTGTGATGTTAGTTGCAACCTTAGTTTTAGTACAAGTACATACTTTTAAACTCTAGTTTTCTCTGTGATGACTTTTGATGATTGATACAAACATATGATTCCAAACTGCATTAATAATAATGTAGTTTGTATGACACATGTGTCTGAATGCCTCCAGTAAGTTCTCTAGATGTTAACAATTTGGGATTGCAAAGGCGTTGAAGGTTTAAGACTATCAAATCCTAAAAGAGCCTAAACTACACAATTCCAAATGTATAAGGTTACTTTGCCTGACAAAGTTGAATCTTGCTGAACCTAAGTTTCAGAACATTTACATAATTTATCAATTGTTTATTATGCTTCCTGAAATTTTAAGGAACTTGTTAACTTAAGTTTACCTTGCTTGATTGGAATGAAACTAATACAGATGAATGAGATTGGCAAGGGGAAGATGCCTATTGATTATGGAGCCAATACTTAATAGGTCAAAGTTCAAGGTCACTAACTTAAAATATATTTTTTTTAGAAATGGGAACATTAGTTTCCTTCATTGGGATTAAAATAAAACTTGTATAGATGGAAAATATGGAGAAGGGAAGAATCCAATTTAGTATTAGGTCAAGAGGTGAAAGATCAAAGTTACAGCTACTTAAAATATAGAAATATTAGTTGAAACTTGTCGTTTCTTGGCGATGTTTTGAGGTAAACTTGTTGGATTTTAATAAAACTTTAACAAGAGGTTGAAAGTAGAAAAGGCGAGGGAAGCCTATTAATTATAAGGTAGTTGGTCAAAAGTAAAGGTCATATTTGCTACGCTACGGATAGTTGTGCATAAATCTCTAAAAATGGTCTTTTATTTTTTTCTAGGTTATTTTTACTAGGTTTGTGCTTCCTGATGTCACCTGGCAGGTTAATCAGGTTCAGGGATTTTAGCACATATATGCAATTAAAAAACTAGTACTGATTGTTCATTTTTATATGTTCCTCCAAGCATACTAGTATTTTGAGACCTTGAAATACAAGACAGACCATACATGTATGGCTCATATTTTTGTTTTCTCTCAATAAATGTGCCGTTGTTGGAGCATCTGTTGGTAGTGCCAACTTTCACTTGTTAATGATAAAATGTATTGGGTATTGGGTAAATCATGCTAGAACTGTTTGATCCCTAAAATATTTGGCTCAGTCCCTTAAAGAGTTTTATTCAAAAGGGGTAGTCTGCAAAAACTTAAATAGATAAGTTCTGGGAGCATCTGTTGGCAGTGCCAACTTTCACTTGTTTATGATAAAATGTATCAGGTATCAGGTAAATTGTACTAGAATTGTTGATCCCTAAAATATTTGGCACAGTCCTTTACAGAGCTTTATTCAAAAGGGGTAGTCTGCAAAAACTTGAATAAATAAGACTTTTTTTCATTGCTTTCTTCCCATGAAAAATTTCCGTTGTTTGCATAGGATTTTATCTTCTTCTTAGGCTTAAAGCAAGAAAAAGGAAAAAATCACATCGTTATTTGATAATGAATAAAATTTTTACATAAAATTTGGATAAGATTTTTTCGCATGACTTAAAATGTAGTATAGAACCCAAGATAAGAATGTGTCCAGAAAATTTATCCCATTACTTACAACATTTAACTGAATCAAACACATGATATTATCAACTCTTACTTTTAATACACAATATATACACATCCTTTCTCTTGTTAACATGCTGTGGTTGTATCATGTTGCATTAGTCCATTTATGTATTTCTGAACAATGAAGTATGATTTGAATAGATTATGTCTTTAAAAAAATGGTCAGCAACTAAATTTGAAAAAAAGTGTATGCCAGATAATGTTGAACACCCAGATCATTGTAAATTCAACATCATATGTTTCAGTGTGTACTGTAAATCTTGTATATGAGTCTATTTTTGTGATAACCTTTAAGTGGGCAACTCTGGAATTCAAAATAAAAATATGTAGTAGGAAACAATCATATTAATTGCAACGGTTCTTGCTGTACATTGCTAATGATTTACATCTATTTTTATAATGGTTGAAAAGTGATCCTTCTTCACCTGGTACACAAGTAGATTCTACATATCCTACATTGGACAGCGTAATAAATTTTTCTACAAGAAGTAAGTTATGAAAATGACGCATTGCTGATTCCCCAAAGGTTGAAGATTGATGTTTATTGACCCTAAACAACTTAGATTTTGCCACAACTGTTACTATAAATTGAAGTTTGGCAAAAATTCATTTGAAAATTAGAAAATCATTTGAAGGAACAATTTCTCAACCAATTTCAATATTATGATTGATGATCCCAACCACCCTCATGTGTCATATGACCACAGATATGTCTATTAGCCCATCCTCTATTACTCAATTATGACATCACAGAATTTATACTTACCATGATCAACATGTATTATGGGTGCAGGCTCTAATTATTGGTTCCCTTCCAGAAGAGCATCTGAGGTCAGAAAAATATATATTAAAAAAAATCTCAGTCTAAAGAAAACATCCACAACCAACCATCAAATTTAATAAGTACTGATCATCCAGAATTGACAATACTGTACAAGCAGGAACAAATTATTTGGGCCCCGCCAAATGGCGGCGCCCTATAGTGATCAGTCTGTCCGTCCGCGTGTCAGTAACAAATTGTGTCCACTCTATATCTAGAGAACCGTTATGATTTCAAAGTTTATACTTGACATGTATATTAAGCAACACCAGAAGGTGTGTCATAATGTATGTTCAACATCCTAGGTCAAAGGTCAAGGTCAAAAACTTAGGTTTCAGTTGACAACCCCATGTCCTATGGTAAAGATTGTGTCCACTCTATATCTTGAGAACCGTTATGATTTCAAAGTTTATACTTGACATGTATATAAACCAACATCAGAGGGTGTGTCATAATTCATGTACAACTTCCTAGGTAAAAGTTCAAGGTCAAAAGCTTTGGTTTCAGTTGACAGCCCCATGTCCTATGGTAAAGATCGTGTGCTCTATATCTTGATAACCGTTATGATTTCAAAGTTTATACTTGACATGTATATAAACCAACATCAGAGGGTGTGTCAACTATGTACAATTTCCTAGTTCAAAGTTCAAGGTCAAAAACTTTGGTTTCAGTTGACAACCCCATGTCCTATGGTAAAGATCGTGTCTGCTCTATATCTTGAGAACCTTTATGATTTCAAAGTTTACACTTGACGTATATAAACCAACACCAAAGGGTGTGTCATAATTTATGTACGACTTCCTAGGTCAAAGGTCAAGGTCAAAAACTTGACAAACCCATGTCCTATGATAAAGATACAAATTTTTTAATGCACATTATTCACATCGGGGCCCACAGAGATGGCTCCCATCTCAGTGATATCTAGTTCAAGTCAAGATTTGTGCTACCATACTAATTAAACATATTTAAGATGAAATAATATCGCATTGAAAAATATTTCTTCACAGCAAATGCCTTTTCATCAGTGTCAATTTTTTTGTAATGCATTTTGAAAAAAGATTGACTCTGACAATTGCAATTTGTTGCGCAGAAATATTTGTCAATACAATAAGAATATTTCACCATTCTCACAAAGGAGAGGATGGGGTATATTGGTTTGCCTCATCCATCTGTCATTCTGTCTCCCCATCCAGCCAGTCTGCCATCCCACGAAATTTTCACTGCTGTTTTCTCTGGAACTACAGGTCTGAAGCATCTTGAAATTTAGTATCAAGCTTCATGTGAGCATGCTTTACTTTGTGATGAATTGTTACTTTTATCACTCATCAACTTCCTATTTACTGAATACTTATACAATCATACACATAAGGTCCTCGTTTGCAAATTTTGTAACATTTTTCTCAGGAACAGCTTCCTGTAATTTAGAATCAAGCTTTTAGTGTTACAGTATGACACATTTCAAATCCTATGCTTATTAACTTCAAATTTACCAAATACTTATTGCAGGGGTTTTGTAAATAAGCAGTAGCTTACAATCAAATTTATTTATTTTTTATTATTTTAGGAAATTCAATTTCATCTTCATTGTTCAGAATGAATGTTGTGGTGTAAATAGCTGTATAGATATTTATTTTACTGACATGATTTTAAAACATACAATGTTTGCAGGATAAATCTGATTCCAAAGATCTGCCAACACCAAGCAGTACACCGACCCAGAGTCGGAAAAATAGACGAAGATCCAACTTGTTTAATAATGTAAGCAAATCAATTGGTTACAGCTGTCAGTTTAATGATAATGCCACTTTTTTTGTATTGTTAATTGCATGTGTGTTTTTTTATTCATTTGGTTGCTGGAAGAGGAAAATATCCATATATTCATATTCAAAAAATTGCTATGCACTTTTTGCTTCAAAGTACATCCAAGTAATAATTGTATTCTTGCAAGAAAAGGGAAAAACAAATATGTTGTATAAGAATCATTTAGAGCTTGACATATGGTATAGAAGCTTGTCTATTGTTGAAGACCTTCTGTTTGCCCTTTTTATTAGCTTACCTTGCCCAGAGGGCTATTGTGACCTTTTGCCATCACTTTGTGTCTGTCATCTGTTTACTTTTAAAAATATCCATTCCTAAGAAACTACTGGGCCAAATTTAACCAAACTATATTCCTGCAGTGGAATTGTTCAACACTGACAATTACCATTAAACTTACTTGTGAATGTAGATACTTAACATCCTTCAAACAGATCATATAAGTTAATTGCTACTTCTCAGTAACTTTTTTTTAGTCATTTGCAAGTATTTTCTAGTACTTTTACAGTTTTTTTCTGGATATGATAACCGTGCCTTTTAATGAGTATGTATACAGTGATTTTGTCTTGTTTGTCATTCACTTTTGCAGTTTAGGAGTTATGGTCCTTAATAGAATGGAAAATTACACCTTATGTCGTTTCCTCACAACAACTTATGAACCATTCAACCAATGCTTTTAAAATTTTAATATGATGTTACTTATGAGGAAATGGAGATTAGGTTCAATACTGAGTATTTTAACTTTTGCTGCTCAGGAGTAATGGTCCTTGATAGATTGTAAAATGTCACTTTATGCTTGGCGGATAGGTGCACAGAGAATATATGTGAAGTCAAACCAACTTGAAAGAGCCATTCATCAGAATACATCAATTTCTTTTGTACTGGCTGGCCTCCTAAGTTCAACAACGGTTACCTTCAAAATACAGAAAACTCAATTTGATAGCTCATTTCTAGTTTGCTATTATCGTGAAAGATTTAAAAGATAGAGAGAAACTTTAAATGTCCAGCAAGTTAGGATATAAAAATAAATGAACAGCTACTGTTAGTGAACTCCTTATAGGATTTTTTGCCCTTAAAGGGGCATTAGTTACGAGATATAAAAACAAATTAAGATATGATTTTTTTGTTCAATCATTAATGAAAGTGAAATAATAATTTGCTTTCAGCAGCCAGTTTGGTTCAATTTTGTCAAAGTAAGCTTGCAAGTGAATAATTCAACCTCATTGAATCCGTATTCATGTGACCTTCAATTTAACCCCTTAGCTAGAGATGGGTTACGCATGAATTAGGCGTCTTCAGTTATTAAAAGGAAAAGAATGTCAGCATTGAAAGAGAAACAAGGGTAAACCATTTTATTGACAGATTCGATCAACAAAAAGTCATTCTAATACAGGTAAAAATAATGATGAACTTCTATAATATGAAATCAAACAGACCTAGAAAAATCCAATTGCATGAGTTCGCTATCTATTTATATTTATATTTATGTTTATATCGGGTTATATGACTGTCAGCAGTCTTCAGAGGTCACCTTGATGGTTAATAGATGTTGTCTAGACTAAAATACACTAGAAATGCTGATACATATTATCGAGCCCATGCATTGTAAATTGTTTATTTTAGACTTTTTATAATTTATATATACGTTTTAGTATGTTATAAATCAAATATGAGAATATGAGTCAAATTGGTGATCATGAATTTGACAGCTAATGCCCCTTTAAATGACAATGTGTTTGTACCCATGTTTGTGCTTTAAGCTTTACCTCTTCTATAGTATTTAAAATTATTTAATCTAGCATTAACTAAATCTTACATGGTCAGTAATAAGTAAATAAATATCTTATCAATTTCAATTTAAGCTTTGAAAAAAAATATAGATTTCTCAATATATTGTGTTTTTATGCAACCCCCCCCCTTAAACCGTAGCAGAGGGGGCATTTAGGTTTAACCTTTATATCTGTATGTCTGTACATTCCGAAATTGGTTTCCATTCTCTAAATTTAGTTTCCCTTGATCAAATGTTGTGACTTTTATACACAATGCTTATTACCATAAAACACAGATCAAGTTCCAATTTTGGTTGCAACACTTTTACAGTTCTCTGGTTATGTCCCTTTTTAACGCTTTTGAGACATTCTCCATTTATTTTTATTTGTCCTTAGAAGGTTAAATAATTTAATTGCCACTTGTATATAATTCTCAGTTTAATCTGTTTCAGATTATTTTTTTACCAATTGACATAATTTCATGGTAAAACAAGGGAAGTAACTCAAAATTTTTATCAAGTGTTTCAAATACACAGATAATTTTTTTTGGTTACATAATGACTGTTAGCCTGAGGTAGAAGATGTTAATGGATATTATATTTGATACCCAAGTTGTTGTGTGAAGTCATATAATTATCCAAGTTGTTTGTTTTACAGGTAAAAATTACCTTCATCAGTGACGCAAAATCATGATTGACATCGATGGTGTTGTAAATGATGAAACTTTTGGGGTTGAAATTTAAAACAAACCTGGAAGATTTAAATTCTTAACAGGATAAATAGAAAAGGGCTTAAAAATATGAGGATTTTGACTCTCGCCGGAAGAATTGCATGTATGATAATCTTAAAATTTATAATGCATAGAGGGAACTGGTTCCTACAAAAAAAAATCAGCGATATAAAATCTACAAACGCTATTACCTCAATATAACTAATATTGGCAATTACACATCATGAAGAAAAACAAAGAATGGAAACCCCTTAGGCTAGAAAGTTATGTGCAACTCTGGTAAAGATTTGGAACAAAGAAAGGTGGCATTACAGAAAAACTGACAGTTGACAATATTGTTCTGATGATGATATAAAATTAAGGGAATAACATTTCCTTATATCAGTGATGTATTAACTAAAAATAACAAGTTAAAACAGGTAGTTCCTTATCTAGGCATTTCATGTTTAAACATTAGAGAGAAGGTTCAAAAACCATCTACAAGTATCATGTAGCATACTACTTTTATATTTGTCCAAATAGCATGAATATCTGCATGATAATAATGTTGGTTGTTGATGATTTCGCATGGAAGTAGTTACAATTCTCTGTCATTCCTCTTTTAATGATTTGTTTCATGTGTACTTGTATATATGTTCCCTTTATAATGCCTACATAATATTGGATGAACCTGTCCAAGGAAATACACCAATACTTTCAGTTTGCATGATGAATGGGTTATTTGTTGAGGTTTAAGACCTTACATAATAAGTGGTATTATTTTATTGTTGTACTGAGAAGTACAGCCATAAAAACAAACATGATTACCAATTAATGACAGAGTTTTTCTCCTTGTAGTTAGTAACATGCTTTTTCCAAAATCTTGTATGGGACATGAGCTTGTACTGATATTTCATTAGGATTATATAGAAAAAGTCTACCTGTCTGTCCTTCTTTCCTATCCAACTTCTTTATCCTTAGTTCAGTCAAATTATACTCCTTTCACCTTCAAGATATTTCCCCTTCAAGATATTTCCCCTTTCAAATAGTGCTTGTCATTGCCACTACTGTTACATGGTTTATTGTTTCTTCATGAGTACCCGGTAAGTGCATTGTTGGATCTTTTATGTAGATGTCAATATGAGTAGGATGTTCCTGTCCATTGAGTTTTCAGCTCGCCTTGCCCTAGGTTTTCATTTTTTTGCCTATTAACTCAAAAACTACTTTAGAAAGGTAGTAACTGTTAATGACAAAAATGATAAGCAATACAAGATCTACAAAAATTTTAATATGACCAAAACCATTGGATGACTCCTCCAGGAGATATTGCTCTTAAATGACGATTTTTTTCAAATTTTCCTGTTTTTGCCAACCTAAAAATTATAATAGATATGTATAAACTGTTAATGGCAAAAATGATTTGCAATATAATGGTACAAAAATGCCTATGTGACGAAATCATTGGATGACTTCTTAAGGAGTAATGGTCCTTAAATCGCAATATTTGACGAATTTCATGTAAAGGTAAAACCTGTAAACAGCAAAAATGGTAAGCGATACAGGATATACAAAAAAGCTAATATCTCTGAATCCATTAGTTGAATTGTTATAGGAGTTGCTACCTTTAAAACAATTTCTTGACTAATTTTTAGAACTACTATTGAAGATAGGGTATACTGAGAAACTGTCAACAGAAAAAATGATCAGCTTTTAAAAGCTATAAAAATGCAAATATGGCTGAAACCATTAGATGGCTCGTCAATGAGTTATTGCCTTTAGAATAATGATTTTTGACATTTTTTTGTGTTTTTGAATTGACAAAACAAAGTGCACTGCAAAAATTATCAGCAATACAAGATCTGCAAAAATACCACAATTGATTACAATAAAGGTACAAATCATTATTAATTAAGGCTCTTAGAAGCCTCTTCTTTTTAGAAGTTATGCCATTTACAACAAAGAAAATTTAGCCCTTACCAGCACTGATCTCATTATCACATATCCTTCGCATGGTATATTGTGAGATCCTTATATACAGATGTGCATGTGGGTATGATGCTCCAGTCTGTTGAGTTGTTTCCAGAGATGTGCCTATTTGAGCTTAGAAATTTTTTAACCTGTGCAGCACCTACCTTATCATTACAACTCCTCCCCAATTGTTTGTTGTATCTACATGGAAGTTGGTATATTGTTAGGTGTGCAAATATGCAAGATATTTCAGTACATTGAGTGAAAAAATGGTGGAGATTAGACTGAGACAGGGTGTCCCTACTGTCTGCAGTGACGGAAACAATTTGTTAAAGATTGTCATAATGTCAGTTTAAGGGCGCGAACCACTTATGATATTTGGTATATAGTTGTATAAGCATAAGCACATCTCATTTCCATGGAGATTATTTGGCCCCCTCAGTCATTGCCATTGACTTTGACACTTTTGTATTATATCATATTCAAGTTAGTGATTA